CACATGCAGTCTCCACCCTCCGGCACAAATTCTTCTGACATCTCTGCTGGCTCCTCCTTCGCGGCCTCTACATTCGCGCCGCTGGCCTCATCTGCTTCTGCCTCACTGGCCATCACATCATTGTGCTCAGCCACGGAGCATTGCGACGAGCACTCCGACTCCTCCTCATCCGAGTACTCGTCTTCTTCACATTCTTCGCCCTCCAAACCCTCGGATCCAGACCCATCCGAGTACTCATCCTTTTCATTGAGGGCCCCGTTGTTGGCGCCGTTGCTCAACACACGAAGCTCACCGGAGGCTGGGAGGGGACGGTCGTCCTGCTCCGCCGAGCCCGAGTCCTGCACGAAAGCTAGGCACACGCACAGCACTACAATACTGGAACAAAACAAGCCCCGAGTCCTTGTCGGCTTCTTCTTGCAAGTCACATGGAGGGGCTGGACACATGAAGTCTCCACCCTCCGGCACAAATTCTTTTTCCTTCTCGGCTTCTTCATTCACGCCGCTGGCCTCATCTGCTTCTGCCCCACTGGCCATCACATCTTTGTACTCAGCCACGGAGCATTGCGACGAACACTCGTCCGAATACTCGTCGCCTTCACTTTCCTCGCCTTCCAAAGCCTCGGATCCAGACACATACGAGTACTCATCATCTTCGTTGAGGACCTCCTTGTTGGCGCCGGTGCTCGACACATCGACACGTTCCTCACCGGAGTCTTGGGGGAAACGTTCCTCTTTCTCCGCCGAGCCAGCGTCCTACGAGAGGGCAAGGCACAGGCACAGCACTCCCCCAAAGGTGTTTTATTGTCGATTTACGCTGGTTTTGGTTGTTGATGGCCTACTCTATTTAGATAAGCTAATGCTTTTCTATCGCTTTTGAAGGCGATGTGCTGCAGTCAGTTTGTGTGTTTAAATGCGCCGCCTGCGGGCGAAACCGTGTGTTCGTGCTATTCTTGATGTTGTGTTGCTGGCTTTTCTCAGAGTGAGTGCACTCCTCTGAGGCTTTGGTCTCCGGGATTCTCCGGGTGTTGTGGTGTCTTTGGGCTTTGCACTGCTCTGGGTTTGGGATTTGGATTTGGCTAGGCTTAGAGTTTCGGGCGGACTGCCGTGGTGTGGGACTTGGCTGTGTCTTGGTCACCGGCTTGAAGGCTTCAGGCTCCGGGCTTCAACACGACGGTCGGGGTTGGGGCTCGGACAGGTGCTCAGCCAAGCGAGTCCGTGCTGGAAAGCTTCCATCACTAGAGGCTTGTACCCAAAGCCTCCACCTGGCGGGAACTAAACTGACAGACGATGCCGACGTCATCAATTTGAGTGGATGTGGCAAAAGTAGGTAGCCCCAGCTCACTGAAAGAAGTCTGAGTCATAGTCGGAGCTGGCAACAGGATGAAGCAATCATGGACAGAAGTAGCAGGCCTCCATGTTGCAGCATCAGCAGCCGATATGGAAGAAGCAGCAGGGGCAGTAGTCCCGCAATGATAGCACTCGCAGCAGTAGTCCTGATGTGAAAGCAGCCGCAACGCAGCAAGATCAGCAGAAGCAGCACTGGCCATGGATGCTGCAAGAACCACACGTCAGCAGGCCTCCCCCCAACCCACCGAACTTGCACTAGCACCGAGCAAGAAAGTTCAACCAAGCGCAGGGTCCCCGCCAGCGTTTTGGACTTTTTCGATCGAGTCACAAGGAGAGGCTGGCTTAGCGGAGTCTCCCTCTCGCGACCCCTCCTTCTCAGCCTCTTTGTTGGCGCCGCTGGTCTCATCGGCAGAGATTTTGGAGCACTCGTCCTCTGAATACTCGTCAAGATACTCTTCTTCACTTTCCTCGCCCTCCAGAGCCTCAGTCATCGGTTCATCCGACCACTCGTCGGCTTCTTTGAGGACATCCTTGTTTGCCCCGGTGCTCGGCACCTCGAAATGCTCCTCACCGGAGCCTTCCGAAGAGTATTCATCCGAGTACACGGAGTTCCTGGACTCCTCCACCCGTCCAGCGGGACAGGATTCGGGAGCGGATCCTTTTGAGCCCACTTGTTCCAGGCCGTAGCCGTCGAAGCAGCCTTGCGGCACCTCCACTTTGGCTCTGCGCCTTGCGAGCGCATCTCCCAATGTCTCCATGATGGAGTGGCAGCCCTACACTCTCTGGCCTATAGACAATCCTCCCTGGCAGAGTCGTTATGAAGCCACTACCTCAGTGGGGATGTTCCAATTTCGGATATCTCCTAAGAGCGGCTGGTTGAGCAGAAGCGGTGGCAGGTTGGTCGTGCACGCGAAAAAAAGAGATGCATGCCAAGGCGAGAAGCGAACGAACTCTCGGACTCGCTGAACAGCCCTTTCCATGCTTTCCACATCCCAAACAGATTGGTTGGACCATTGCCGTTTCAGCTCAGCTCGTGAGTAGTCAATCCTCACAATGCAGGCTCAGGAGTTGGCGAGTTCTGTGCGAACGAATAGAGCTCACTGAACTACGGCGTGAGCATGCCCTGTGCCGCGGGCTCAGATAAGATAGAGGGGCGGCAACTGTACAGGTGGCTGACAAGAGGCTAGGAGACGATTTGTAAATGATTCCACCCATGTCGGTATCGCTTGCATCTGAGGCACGGTCTTGTAAGCAAGCTTCAGCTTGCGCACACCCCCTGCTCGGGTGGGAATTGGAAGGAGCGGCTCAGTTCTCCAAGCAGGACGTCCACAGATTGTAAAGCACCTCAATGCACGCTCCGACGTTGCTCGGGTTCAGTCATATGTGCATTGCTTCCTGTGGAGACCCTCATGTCTACGTTGGTAACGACTTTGAATTACAACATCAGTTCCAGAATCCCCTGCCAGTTCACTCCTGGTCCTCCCTGTTCCCTGGAGAAATTTGCTTCCCAAAAATATCGGATGTATTTTGGGCTTGCTTGTGCTTGAGAGAATTCCTGGAACCTCACGATTTTACAGCGGCAGTTCCTGCGTCACCTGGAACTCGCCCTCTCTCTGAGAAAAGAGCCTTCTCCTGTAGGACGATTCATGTAAGATACTAGCAGTCCTGTCTCGCAGCCTCACGCTGCAGCAGAGGCGCCACGGCCGAGCCCTGCCAACACGCAAACCGTTTTGACGGTAAGCGCATGAGACGGCCCCATGCGAACTCGCCGCCGGAATCCGACTGAATCTCACAGATCAGGCCTTAACAGAGAATGTTGGCTGGGCAAAGGTCGACAAGCCGAGGTGTCCGTCCCGCCCGGGGCACGGTCTGGAACACCATGCGCATGTCAAGGCTCTGCTTGGGCGACTCCTGCTCTGACTGTGTTTTCAAGGCGAAGGGCAAAGTTCCATAACGTGGTCCCTCTGAAACTCCGCCAGTTCTGCGCAACGGCTTGCTCGCTCCAGTCTCTTGGACGATCTCATGGCCTTCGCAACCTCGGATCTGCCATGCCGGCCTATGCAAAACCTTGTGGATCGTGTGTTTCTAGATGATGGGCTTTCGTGGACTTGTGCCTGCACGAAGGCCACATGCATGCAAAATGATCCAAGGAATAGTCCTATCTTGCCGTGGTCCCTGTCGTTGTTGTTGTTGTTGTTGCTGCTGCTGGTGTATTGCAGGCACATCATTCATGGACAAGACTGTATCCATACATGTTTCTGAGCTTCTACGATACAACGCAGCAAATAAGTAATGCCAAGACGAATAAAGAAAACTCTAAAAGAAAAACTCTAAATACACACAACGGATCAAAACGAAGGGAAAGTCGAACACGCTAAGGCGGCACATGATGATGAGAAGCCTTTATGCTGTTCCTGGCACGAATAACACACACACACACATGTTTTGGCCGTCGCACTCGAAGCTCAGCCGAGGGTTAGGAAGGCAATAGAACACCAAGCAACTCTCCTCGAGTTTACACATGCACGAACGCACCACTGGTACTGGACGGCACGTGCGACAGTGCAGGCTGCAGAAATATGTTTTCTGCATCTCCACCGGGGCACTAAACTCACTAAACCCAATCAAGGTCCAACTATGCTACTTCGGCAAGGACCAAGACACACCTCAACATTCCCAGAGAGTCTTCCATAATACAAGCATAGAAACACAACTGTTTGTGTTTACATGCGTTTACATGCACATCGTCGCCCTAAACTTGCCTGATCACTCCCCCAAACTCCCCCTTACTTCCGACTGCATCATGGTTGGGATATGGCAGAATAAACCACGGTTTCCTTAACAGAACAAAATGCTGTGCGCCTTTGAGAATGTGATGGGGCACCATGTTCCAATGCCCACAGACGCCCGGTGCCGGGCGCATACCCCACACACACACGAACAAACAAATAAATGATGCACACCAAATGTGATCCAAGTGCGGGTCAACACGGGGGGTTAGCACTGTGTGTATGTGTGTATCTATCTATATCTATACATATATACATATACATGTATATATATATATGTATGTGTGTGTATGTGTGTGTATATATATATATATGTATGTATATGCCTTTGCTAACAAAGGCCCATGAAAGCAACATACAAAAAGTATATGCACACGAACACACATGCAGTTGCATACGTTCCCACGCTTACAAGTCCCGGCATGCATGCACGCACGTGCCCGTACATTCCTGCTTCTGTGTTTGCATGATCATGGTATGATCTACTACTACTACTACGACGACGACGACAACAACTACTACTACTACTGCTACTACTGCTGCTACTGTTGCTGCTGCTGCTACTACTACTACTACTACTACTACTGCTACTACTGCTGCTACTGTTGCTGCTGCTACTACTACTACTACTACTGCTGCTGCTGCTGCCACTACTACTACTACTACTACTGCTACTACTGTTGCTGCTGCTACTAC